GGGGGGGGGGGGGTACCTTTCGGAGCAGGGTCCACTGCGACATTACGACTCCACACCAGCAGAACACCCCCCGAGTCGCCCGTCAAGACGTCGCCGCTGGGGAGGAAAGCCAGACACTGCACGAACTTGGGCTTCTCGTATTTCTGAGGATGGACAACAGAGGCGGCATTAATAAGGCTGGGAGATTACAGCCAGTTTATCCGTGTCTGTGGCAGGCTGCTGCCTCGGTGTGCATCTGTGCTGATTTCCTGGGGGTGTCTGTGCCCCGGTGGTGAAACAACGCTCATCCTCACCCCGAAGATGCCTTGTTTGCGTGTCAGCGAGGAGCCGCTCCACGTCCAGAAGAAGACGTGCGATTTGCCACAGGTGACGATGATGCTGGTGTCTGTGGGGTGGAACTCCACCGCCAGCACGATCTCGTTCGTGGTCTGTGCGACGGGAAATGGGGGCGGTCAGCCAGCGTGGTGAATAGTCACACGGCAGAATAGTCACATTGCCGTTAAGGCCCTTAACCCTCCAGAACAATGCTCCAGGGGGCGCCAGAGTGCATGCATCATTCTCACTTGATTTTGTGTGTGTGTCAAAGAAGAAGAAGATATGTGAAAACTAAAGAACTCCTACGTACTTCAGCAAATGAACAACAATGAGAACATCAGGACTATCGTACATGCAGGGAAAAAGTAACAAAGCAAAAACACGGCAGGAGGACAGAGAGCAGGACCACGAGATCCTTCACCTTAATCTCAGCTATCCTGGACTTCTTCTGCCAGTCCCAGACCGTCAGCATGTGCTCGTTGGAATCATCGATCACGCTGAGATGGACACCTGAATCCTGCGAGGGTGGGTGGGAAATTAAAGAAAAGAGCTGATTCAACACCGACAGCATCGGAACGACACCCAAATCACATGACCAATATGCGTAATGACCTCATTGATCTTGGCCAATCATGTCTCAGTTGACCTCCAGTAACCCAGCAGCTGTTCCTATCCTAGGAGTTCTCTGCCACTAAGGTGATGGATGTGACCATCAGCTCACTACAGCACACATGGCTCAGCGCCGGAGGACCTGAAAGTCCCCCTGCGAACCCAGCACATGGAGAACCTGGTTCTGTCACAGTTATGAGTGTGGGGGAGCCCTATCGCCTGGCTGGGGGGGGGGACTTACAGCTTTGGAGAAGGCCAAGGAGCCCACACCCCTCTCGAAGGTGCCCACCCCAAAGACCTGCAGGGTGGACAGAGTAACCGAGTCCCATACACGGACATGAGGCTGCAGAGACTGGGGGGGGGGTCAAAGGGCAGAGGTCAGCAAAGGTCAAGCTGCAAAAACACTGGCATTAAAGAAATCAGCCACAGAATCGTAATGCGAGAGAGAAAATAAATACAAGCACGAGAATCATTAATTTTATTGATTATTATTGATTATTATTATGATTGCTATAGTGTGACATAATCATTTCACTGTTAAATCTATAATGAATGGGTACACTTCATGGGTCTTTTTGATTGTTTTGTGTGTAGGAATTACACTGTTTTACATTCAAGCTATATAATGTATTTCATTAGCCCAGACGGGGGCGCTCTCACCCGTCCGTCCTTGTCCACCCCAGCAGTCTGCCCTGTGGCAATGCGGATCTTATCAGGATGAACAGCCAGGCTGTGAGACACAGACAAATACAGCATTATTATGATTTTGCCCCCCCCCCCCAGTGGCAGGGGGACGGCACTGTTCCCAGGACAGGCCCATGGTTACAGGGACGGACCATCTGACGCTGTCGGTATGTCCCAGGTAGTGCCGCTGAGTTCGCTCCTCGTAGTTGAAGAGCACGACCACTGAGGCGATGAAGTAGACGACCTCGCCGGTGGGCAGCAGCTGCACGTTGGAGCGAGCATCACGGCCTCGGTAACCGTAACTGCAGGCAGAGCGAGTCAAGGAACTGGAGACACTTGGGTGTGGGGGCACGGGATGGAGGGACAGGGGCCGGGATAGGGACAGGAGCCAGGGACAGGAGCCGAGACAGGGACAGGGACAGGGACAGGGGCTGGGATAGGGACAGGGGCTGGGACAGGAGCCAGGGACAGGAGCCGAGACAGGGACAGGGACAGGGGCTGGGACAGGGACAGAGACAGGGGCTGTGATAGGGACAGGACCCAGGACAAGGGCTGGGGCAGGAGCCAGGGCAGGGACTGGGACAGGGGCAGGGACAAGGACAGGGGCTAGGACAGGGACAGGAGCCGGGACAGGGACTGGGACAGGGACTGGGGCAAGATGCCGTCACGGACAGGAGGTGAGGATACACCCACTCCAGCTTGAGGGTCTCAGATGGGAGCTCGACCCGGACATCCTCGTAGTTGCCAACGTCAGATGGGACATACATGGTGATAGGACGGCCCCGCAGGAACATCTTGATGTAGTCGCCCTCTGTTGTGGGGGGGTGGGGGGTAAAAGGGGCACAGAGCCCAGAAAAAATGTCATGGGAAGATGCGCATAGCCTGTACTGAGCAAGAATTACCCAGAGAGACTGACAGAGCCAAAGGCCAAATGGGTGAAGGTGCCAGAAGATCCAGGGGAAGCAGAACCGCTGAGCCGGGCAGAGCCGCCGCTAACGGCTGCCACCTACTCCATGAAGAACGTGTCACTTCAAGCCATTACCATTGTTCTCCATGCCAATAAAGACATTCTTTCAATTAAACTTGAGGGACAGTAGGAATGGAAAGATGGTAAAGTAAAACAGAAAGAAAAGATGAGAGGAAGGTGAGCTGGGGAGGCGGAGAGGGGGAAACGGAGCCTCCGCTTTGGATCCTGGTGACCCCACCTAGCGTGTTTCTCCATAATCAACACAGATCATCACCTATTTGCGGCTCCTCCAATGGAGCAAACAGGAAGTTCTTATGCTAAGAAGTAAAACTGCAAAGTTAAATAAAGTAAATCCCATCAGCAGTGAGCTTAATGTCCTTCTTACCCTGGCTGATCACAAGGTCACGGGGTCTGGAATGAAGCAAAGAGGAAGGTCATTCAGGCCAGCCATGACAATCCCAGCAATCCCTGCCTATCCCACAATTCCCTTCCCCTCTGATACACACCCAGGCTTCACCCATGTCTGCCCACATTCACACCCTTCTACTCTTAAAATCAAACCCCCTCACTCATTATAATTCACTTCCAACCTTCCATCCGAACAAAGCCCTCCCCACACATACACTCCGAGTGCAGCCTGTCTCTCCACCTCTGGATCTCCACCTCTGCATCTCCACCTCTGCATCTCCACCTCTGCATCTCCACCT